ACTAGTGCCTCATCCTCCTCCAGCCGTTAAAGTCTGAACAACCTCAAACCTGAACCATCTCTGCTTTTCTTCTCTAATTCCTAACTGTTTTGTGCCACAATACATTATCAGGTTTGTATCAGGCTTGTACCATAGCAGAATGTCCATGATGCTGAGCACAGCTAGGAAAATTATCACTCACTAGCTTTGCCAGTGGTAGATGAAAATTGGTGTACGTGATTCTTGGGAGATTAGTGCCACCTTAAACATGAGACAGAGAGAGAGGGAAGGGCTACCACAGATGAGAGATGACTTAACATCTGATCTACAACCACAAAGAATTTGACACAAGTTAACAAATACACTATAGTGGAAGTAGAAGTCTTTTTTTTTTTTCCCTTCCCCTTTCTTATCAAACTTTTAACATTGGTCTTCATGGCACCGAATGCAAAATATTCTGGAACTCCAGCAGTGGAGACAGGAATGCATCAAATTTGAACTGCTGCATAGCTGGCTTTTGGGGAACTGAACAGCCATAGAAACATCCTCAAAAATCCTAGATTGCTTGGAAATCTTCTGGCTTTGAGCACAGGAGTGTTACTAAAGCTTTATAAAGTCTCCCATTATAAACCAAATTACAGTGGTCAGTATCTCTGTATATTCAGTGTGAAAGCAACATCATCATCATGGTTCAACATCATTTCTCATCACAAAAATATTTAGAGGGGTTGTTTACAAACCTACATTGTACATTAAAGCTGGATTTTCAGTTCTGTGGGACCAGCTGATATTTACATTAAGGGTCACTTACATTTTCCTGTGCAAGTAGGATGGGGAAAAACATTTTGTCAGGCATTTGCATTTTCTAGAATTTTGTACTATATACCTATAAAGAAAACATCAGTTTTCAAACTTGCAAATTTAGGGTTACTGGAAGCAAAACAGCCTCATACAAGTGAAATACTAATGACTGCAGTTTAACTCACTGTGTTCTCAGAGGTCACCTTTACAGGTTCTGTGTGTCCTTAGAATCACTCTGAAAGAATAACATAGTATCTTATTAACTTCATTGTTCTGTAAATAAAAAATTACATATAGAAAAATATTTCCATTTGCAATATGAAGCTAAATATACAGAACAATAATTACCTCAGGAGAAAGTTATAAAAATAGTTTTAGACAAAATACACTGTGAATACATCCATGTATATTTTGGGGGGGTCTTATTTAATGTAAATGTGGATTAAGCCAAAAACATCAGAGAGATGACTATGGAAAATGGAATAACTTTTTTCCACAGAATAGGTGTAATATTAAATCCACACAATAGAGTCAATCCTAGCAATTTGCTCAAACCTGTTTTAGTCATTATATGTGCTTTCATTTCTAAATCCTGTTGGTAATACCTTTGATAATGAAGACAAAGACATTTCCTCATAAGTATAAATCTGCAAGGGAAATAACCTTAAAAATTCTGTGGAAGAATTATTGAAAAAATATAGAATCTATCCTAAAAAAAATGTATGATCTACTTGAGCTCTTTGAATCCCATGTACATTGTAGTTCGACACAATAAATGAGGAAAGGAAATATTTTTGATAGAATATCTAACCACATCACAACTTCTAACAATTACTAAAGGGAGATTAAAAGTAACTGTCAACCACCCTATTCAAACATACATGCAGAACTTACAAATATTGCAAAACTTCTGTCTTCTGCAGAACAGTCCAGTCTCAGTAAACACCTTCTCATATACAGGAATTTGCTGCTGGATATTCCTCCTCCAAGCTGCCTGGACTGTAAAGACCTCAGAATTTGCTTCTCCACTTCATTTGTCTGCAGAAATGTTCTATGTGTCTGTTGATTTTTAGAATCAAGTGAATTTCACTAGAAGAACAGGGAATAAAGTAATAAGATCATTAAGAACAATTCTGGAACCAGAAGCATCAGTAGCTTCTATTCCCAGGAGATTAGCAAAGCTTTTTACAAGAATTGCAGTAAGTTGCTGCTTTTTTTCCATCCCCCTTAATTGCATTTAGTAATGGATACTCTTTTCCAGATTTCCTCTTTGTAAATACACTCAGGCTTGCAAAAAAAAACAAACCCAAAGCACCAAGATGTTTGTTTCTGTGGGTAATAGTTCCATTTAAATTTCCAAAACTCTGTAAAATATGCCAGAGCTTTTCTCTGAGATCAGTCATCTGCCTGGACATCTTTTTTGGGTGAAGGCTTTAAAACCCCACCAAGCATTTTAAAGATAAACTGATTCTGAACAGAGTTGAGATAGAAGCAATGACAGAAAGTCCTAAGGCCATTCTATCATCCCATGTTCCCACTATGTTTTATTTAGGTTATATATATATGAAACAGTCGGCTTTTAAATACTAATGTCATAAGGGAAAAAAAAAAGTTCTTATCTAATCCAGGATGGATCTAACACCCTGAAAATTAAGAACTGCGTGATATATTCTATGATTCTATGATATAGTTAAATATATCATTTACACGAGACCTGTTTGCCAAAAAACTGATCTAGAGCAACAGCTTTTCTACCAGGCTGAGCTGACAGGCTGTAGCTGTTAGGCTAGAAGCAAGTCCCAGACCTCTAGCTCCTCAGGTTTTGAGCATCATTTTGACATCATTCAAGGAAATAATCCGGTTTATGTTTCACAGAAGGTTACTATCTTTCCAATCTTGCCATCATCCTATCTATGTATGAATAAAAGAGTAATATATTTGCCTGTTTAATAGCAAACTAATTATACTACTGAAAACACCCTACAACATTGCACCCAAGAGAAATAAAATGCCCATTTATTAATGCATAAGTATGGATTACCAGTAAGCCAGGTCCTCAGCTGGTGCTCCTCCTGCTTTGCTGAGCAGAGCATCTTGTTCAGCATCACAATCAACTCCATCACTTCCAATTCAGAGACTCTGCTTTGAAAACTATATGGATCAGTAGAAGGTCTCCCTTATTCTGCCTCCAGCTTCTTGTTGGTCCTTCTCTCTCTTCTATTCCAGGCTTCTTTCAGCCTTACTGAGCTCTGAGGTACACACTTCAGGAGCTTTCTGCTATTATCTGAGTTTTGACACCTTCTCCATCAGTCTCCTTGACCTGTATTTCTTTTGAAGATGTTATTTCCTTCTTACCACCAGCACTCTATTGCTTTTTGCAACAGCTGTTGGATGCATCATGTTCCATCTCAGCAGGGACCTGGTGTAAAGGTATAAAAGCTCAGGAGATGTGGATGCTTATCAAAGCAGGCCAGTAATCAACAGGAAGGAATTTAGTCCTTTTTCTTGGGCCTGCATCCAACAAGTTGCATGGGTTTATCTGCAACTTCCGTGCTTGAGAGTGATTTTACCAATTAAGAGCCCTCTCCACCACTGCAAATGGAAAACAGCAGCATATGCTAGAGATCTGGAAGATCATACTTTCCAGATACAGCTCTTCCCATGGAGTTATGCAACAAAAATGAAAGCAGATGTGCTGATGCAAAAATATTTTATAATAAAAGGGAAAACTACATATAACAAACTAAGACTTTTTATAAAACCTTTAATCTAGCCTACACTTTCTCTGTAATTCCTATATATGCCAACAGTTCCCTAAACACAGCATGGAATAGATGTGTGGAGGGAGATGGAAATTAATTCATCTCTGTAATTAAGATTTCAGAACAGCTTTCTCACTAGAAAAATGAGTCAGTCCTGATGTTGCTAACGTGCAACATAGGAATACACTTCCATATTTCAGTTGAACTACATGCTTCTAAGTAATAAAATTGTATCTAGTTAACATCAAACTATCTTACCTCCTTCCCAGTCTCATTTGAGAAAAAAAAGGTGTACATCCATCTTGGTTTAGACAAAGTATAAATGTTTTACCTTAAAATACATAGGGGGGGGGGAATAAACTAAGAGCATAGCACAAGGGATAAAAACTTGTACATTTTAAGGGAATTTGCAAGAACAATACCTAACATTAAAAACAGATGAGAAACCAGACTGCCAGGTGCTCTGCTAAAGCTCAATTTGACACTATACACAAAGGGTTGAATCAGACACCTTCGGATCAAATACACTAAAATAGCATTGCACTTTATACATGAACAAATTATTTTTGTGCATCATCTCTCAAAATGCTAATTGTATTTGGGCTTAAAAGAGAAATCAAAGCTGAAAGATATGAGAATTGGGCATTTGTAACTCTGAGTTTGCCAGCCCCTCTAGTTTACCACAAATTCTGATTGTTTCAGAGACACCCTGGTCCACTCTACCACTCAAACCCCAAAACTATTATGGATGCCAAAACAGGAAAATAGTTACCTCTCACCTTATAAATATATTTTCCACTGGGATATAAGCCCTGAATCTCAGGCATCTCCAGTCATGGTACTAGCCTGGCCATGCCTTTCACCTTAGTCCACTGCACCAGACCTGGGTGACCACAATAATATTCCTCCATGTTTTGTTTTGATTGTTCTGTCAATGTTCAAGCCCAGGCTGCATTCCATCTTCTATAGAAATAACATGAACGTGTGAAAACTGGCATTAAATCTGTGCAAGAGCCAACAAATTCCCCACACAAGGCTGACATCTTGGTCTGCTGCATATATTTATGTATCTTGTGAGATAGCTTAAGGACAAGATGTCTCTAATGAAAGCAACAGACTAACTTAACAGCTCCTTATCTCTCCTAATCCTTCTAAATATATTTCTTACCAGGAAAATGAGCCTCACATGAAGTATCATTTTATGCAGAATGTTAATGGATCCTCCCTAGTCACTCAGTCAAATTTAATGTGATAATTACTTCTCATTTCACAAATGGGAATGAAAGAGCAATGAAATGTATACACCCATAAGCAGACAACATTAAATGGAAGCTTTCCCCCCCCTCACTGTAATGAGTGAGATGGCAGGCTGAATGCAACTCCAGAATAAGTGAAGAAAGTGAAACATGGTACAGACAGGAGAAGGAAGGGGGTAAAAAATAAAAATGAAGTTGCATCCCAGGCCATTTCAAACAATCCCTTTATTTTCTGTGGAACATCACCATGGCAGCCCCCACAGCAGCATCCACATCCTTCCCATAAACAGCAGGGAATGGAAAAATCCTTTCCACTTCCTGGCGTAGCACCTCGTTCCTGGTGAGGGCACTGCCACTGCCCAGGATCCTCTCCACTCCCATCTCCAGCAGGTGCTGCACAGGGAACATGGAGCAGAGGTTTTCCACGATGCCGCGGCACAGAGCTCTGGTGACATGACCCAGGGAGAGGTCAGAGGCAGCAATGTTGGTCACTGCTGCCAACTGCTCAGGGGTGTGTCTCTCTCCAAATATAGCTGGGTGGATGGAGAGCTTGCTGTCATGTTGGGCCAAGGCTGCTTTGATGATCTTTGTATAGATGGCAGACTCCTGAACCTGAACTCCTGCAGATGGAAAATACCATGTTACTACTATGGGGTCTGGTGCAGCTAACGTGTGGTAACTTAAAATGGACATTGATCCACCTGTTCAGCAAAATACTGTGTATCTTTTTCCATGTCCCATAGGTAATTGTTTTTCCTAGATTATGAACCACAGTCCTCCCATCCCACTGTATCTAGTGTCTGCAATAGCAGGAACCTTTTCCTGATTACAGAAACTGCCTTTCCTGATAATCCAACTACTCCTCTTTGCCTATATTGTAGGCAAAACAACATCTTCAAAGGCACTAAATGGCACCAAGTTAGACAAAACAACATCTTCAAAGGCACTAAATGGCAGACTTCAACTTCAGTGGCTGGATTGCACCTGAATGTAAAGTTCATTTCAAGTACTCACTGAAAGCAAAATTTTAAAGCTTATCTCTGTATTGCAAAACCCAAAAGATTATTAAAAAAACAACAAACTGTGAAGCCCATGTTTTAAGCACTTAAAAGGTATTGCATGAGTTTGGGTCTTAAAATCCATTAGAATGCTGCAAAATATGCAGCAAAAGGCAACTGATCTAATCAAAGGACTCTTTTGAACTGCAGTCACACAAAATAAGAGGCTCTCCTCAAATGTGCTGACCTTTCCTTTTGAAAAGCAATTTGCAAAAAGAAATGTGTCTTGTGTTCTTCAAACAAAACCTAGAGGCAATGTGAATGTGGAGTCCAAGCATGACTGTCCCAGCAGGTTCATTAGCTTCTGCAGGAAATTCCAGAGATCTAGGAAGCATGACCCAAGAGTTACATCTTTGTTCCTTACGTGACATGACAAAACAGCTCAAGGCTTGTTCCTTTGCCTTAGCTCCCTCTTGCCTTGCTAATCAACCTCAATTTTAAGCTTTAACTACCTTTGCAATAGCTTACCTAGCTCTTCTGTCCACCGTGCCACCATGTCCACAAACGTTGCCAGCACATTGCCCCCGTTAAGGGAAGCTGCCACTGCCAAGTAGTCACCATTGAAGTAGGGAAAATAACTAACAGGTGAGGAAGGATCTGGTGTCTCTGGAGGCTGGAAACCCAGGGGCATCGAGATAGTCAGCTGAGCTGAGGTACTGATATTAAGAACTAGAACATGAAAGAAAAGAAAAAATAATAATAAAATTGATATTTTACTAGGCTACCCTGAAGGAGGACAGTGAGAAAACCTAAAAAGATACCAAAATGATCATACCTGCATCAGTCCTCTCAGTCAGACAGGAATAAACAGAGCACTGGAAATCTCCCAGAGCAATTCCTACTTTTGCTCCTTTGGGTATTCCATGCCATGCACAGATTGTCCTGCCTGCAATGGTGCCAGGGTCTCCCACCTCTGGAAGCAAGTGAAGGGGAAAGCCGGATTTTTTCAATCTGCAATCAGAACAATATTCTTGCAGAAAAGCAGGATGGGAATGTGAGGCACGACTACAAAGGCCTCTTTGAAGTCACAGATGAACCTGGATGTGGCTGCTGATTAATGGATGCTTTCACCTATTTAGAAAACTTTGTCTGGACAGGGGCAGCATTCCAGTTCAATGGGCTGGGTAAACTAGAATAGTCTAGAAGAATAACTAGCTTTCCTTTATATACAGTGTGATTACTGAGGCTATACAGCAGTACATGGTCAGCAAGTTGAACTTACTGATGTCATATGGACAAAGAGTTTCAGGGTAAAGGGACAATCACAGAAACAGCAAAAAAAAAAAAAGTAACTTCTAAGTGTCAAAGAACTTTAAACTTTCATGCTGTTAAGTGGTTCAAAAACCAAATAATAAAATTAAGTCCAACAAACTCCTTACATAATCACACTGCAAGATACACTGCATTGCTACAGCAACACCACCAGGTTAGTGAAAGTTCAGTCGGCCAAAGGCAGGTTTCTGTCACTCTTTCATACCTTCAGGAGCAGATCTTTTCATCTTGGGAGTCCTGGCCTAACCTAAGCCCTGAAATATGTAAGGCCTTAGCACTCAGCCCTGAAAAAACAAATCATTAAAACAAATAAATAAATAAACTGATTTCCCTATAAGGCTTCCAGTGAGTCTAATTAGTTACAAAGGAGTTCAGCTGGAATAACTAGAGAGTAATAACTGTATTTTACCATCAGAGAGATAACACCTTGCATGCACTTGTGCATCCCATCCCCCCCCCAGAACTGGAGATCCTGTATACCAGACTGGTACACAAGCCCTCACAGTGAGTCCACTGTCCTGGGTGTTTCTAAAAACACTGTGCCAGATTTTTTATAATTTAAACATAAGTCTCCTACAAACCAGATTAAACTCTCCATAGTTCTTCAGTGCTACTCCACAACTGATTAGGAGTAACCTTCAATCACTTTTTATCTGTAGCACAAACTTTAATGCAAAAAAACCCCTGAATGACCCTAACACTTACACGTCAGTATTCCAGCTTTTGTTTCTGCAATTAAAATATCCCCAGCTGGCAGCATTCTGGACAGACATGAGTGGCTTCTTCAGGTCACACAACATGGCAACCACATAGTCATGGATAGTGCCAGCTGCATCATAAGACTTCAGAAAATCTGGACTTTTAAAGAAAACATTTTAAAAATAAAAAATATATGACTGGCAACATAGTAAACGATGAAATAAAACAGGAACAAACCAAAGCAGTTGAACTCATGAGTTATACAGCTCTAAATCAAGATCATGTCATGCTCTATAGATTTCCTGAACACTGATGGAAGAAACCGAGATGTAACTTATTTTTCCCCATTTTTTTGAACCTGGACTCATTGCTGAGGAAGATACTGGCTGGCTGAGAAACACAGCATGCTGTAGATGAAACTGAAGAGCAAATCCTGCTGCTGCCACGTCATCAGTGAAAAATTGTATCCTCTGCAAACATGCTACAACAAAGCAGACTATTTGTAACACCTCACAAAGATTTCAGTGCTTAAGGAAGGAAAGCACTGAAATTAATTTAGTGACTGTTTTAGTATCTGGCAGCATAGTATTAGTTTTAGTATCAGATAAAGCAACTCTGTTGCTGTTTTAGGGATGTTTGTATTTTTCACAATCTGCACAAGGCAAAAATTACAGTGTTAAACTGCATTAACAGAGCTTCTCTGAGCACTAGGATGGCCTAGAATTATTCTATGATACTGTGAGATTTCTGTTACTATATGGTCAGAAGCTTTTCTTTTTATAAAAAAAGACTCTTGTGTGCTCACCACTTTATTATGGTTACAGAGAATGGCAGTGCCTCAGCCAGTAGTGGGTCTTAACATGCTGCAGGAATACTAATTGTCACCTAAATTCAAAATGAGAAAATGCCAGTGAAATGGCTTCAAGTACCTCTTCTTTAAATACCAGTAGACTGTGGCACACCCAAATCCTGTAGCCAAGCTGATATGTGACTGTGGCAGAGGAAGAGAAGAGAGGAAGGTGGGACTGCAGCGACCGTCTTGCCAAGTAACCAGATGACTGACCTCGTCTGGCTCAAAGGAAGGACCTGTTCCACCCTCTGTCCACTTGCAACCTGAAACACAGCATATCCCAGAGGTCCAGTGATTCCCTGCAGGATAGTCCACCTGGCCTTCTTCACTTCTGGACACTCTTGAATAATTTGTTAAATATATTGGGAAAAAAAAAAAAAAAAAAAAAAAAAAAGCACAGAAACAGAGCCAGCAGTGACTGTAATCAGATTTATCATCCACACTTTTCAGCCTTAGATAACATCACAATGCCACTCCTCCTTTGCTAATTCAGAAAATGGCATCCAAGGCCTTTCTTCTCTATAAGCACTCCTGGGGGGAGGACCAGAGCATAGAAACTGGGGCAGGGGGAACAAGTAACTTGCACCTTGAGATATGAATGATACAATTTAAATACCAGGTTACTCAGAGAAAAAAACAAAACAAAACAAAACAAACTGCTATGGGAGGTAATGAGCTGATATGACAACCTGCCAGCTCTCCTATATAAACCCTAACTGGGATCTGCCACATCCTGACCTAGAGAATGCTGCATTAGTAATGAACTGCCTAGGATGGATCATCACTTCCTGAGCCAAAGCAGCAGGAGACCTAGATCTATATGTATAAAGCAAAGGACTGCAAAGTACTAAAGACTATCCCTCTCCTGTGCTACACAACGAAGCTTCACCAACTGTAGAACAGAGAGTTTAAATCAGTTTTACCAGTCCAGCATGTTCCTTCTGGACACAGAACAGCACACCATTGGTGAAACCTGCACATTCTTTCATGTGAAGCTCAGAGCAGCTCAGAGCCCTCACAGCCATGTGCCATTGCTCCAGCGCAGTGTGCTAGTTCCTGCCCTGACATGCCCACTGCAAACACTCCTGAAAAGGCAGCACAGCCCTGTAGGTGCAGCAGAGTGAGCAGAGGCCGAGCCCCAGTGCTGCCATGGGATGTCTGCCAGCACACCCTGCTGGCCTCGGCACTGCTGCTCTCCCAGGTGAAGTCTGGCCACACCGCGGGGATACACACCAGCTCCAGCTGGCTCTGCAGCTGAGGCAACCTTTTGGTTTGTGGTTGGGGATGGGAGCAGAGTTTCAAGCTGTGCTACTTGTCCTACAGGTCAGGGAAGATCCCTGGCTGCTTAACTGACTAGCACAAATATAACCGAAAGGGTCTTTCTCAGGCAAGATACAGGAATTTGAAGTTACACTTACAAAGTACTTAGCAGCCACGAAAGCTGAGAAGTACTGTGTGAAAACTAGTAAACACATTTTCTTGTTCCCTTAATTCTATCAAGTCTGTTTGAACTGAATTTCCAATTGGTTTGCTTTTCTAGTTTTAAATGGATTCTAAGAAATATGGCAAATCATAAATCTTT